TAACTGTTTAGCTAAAATGTAAATTTTTTAATGGATCTAAAAAAAAAAAGTATTACACACTTCATGTAATAAGTTTAACAGAAAACCTACTAAAAAAAATCTAGATAGAACCGAATAGACCCGCCAGGCGCCCATGCTAGTGGAATTTATTATTTATAATTAGTTTAAATATTATAAATTTCTAAAATTATTTAATAAGATCACGGAAAAATTGTACTTTTAGCTCTTGGATCAACTAAGAGACGATAATATGGGTGCAAAAAAACAAAATCCCTCACCCTGATCTTACAAGATTATGGAGGAATTAAATCACCGTAGTTCAATAACTATTGAAGTAGGAGGACCCGTACAAAGAGTCACCTTGAGGGTGAAACTCCTACATTGTGACTGTTAGGATTCGATATCTTACGTTCCTAGGTGCAATTAATCTTCCACCCATGAACAATCAACTTTAGAGATAATTGAATGGCAAAAATGATGGATGAATAGTTAAAATGATAGACTATATATCATTCGAGTTAGAAGTGATTATAAATTTTTTTTTTTATTTAAAAAAAGGCATACTAAAAACAATACATGCAATTTTATCATTTTTTATATTAGTGTTGTTAGGTTTTCGTCCAAAATAATATCTGGACAAAATAAACTGCATTAGTGATTAATTATGAAATACTATTGTAATCTCATGTTAATTAAAGATAAAATCTAGCTTTATAGCTTAAGAGCTAACCACTCGTTTGGTTGGAGAGAATTAAAATTTTACTCCTACCTAATTTTGAAGGTAAACAAATTTTGCATGCCTTCTTAGGTATTTTCAATTTTGCATTTTTTTAGTAAGAAAACAACCCTTGAAATAAAGTTATCATTCTCTTTATAAATTTTCGATCTAACATAGAATTGATATTTCATTTGTCTGCTCACCTCTCCCTCTCATTGCGTATCTTCTTCTTCTTGGTTTCTCGACACAGAATGTCGACTCAAAGTATTTGAATATTATCTCAAATTTCATGATTAAGTAAGTTTTGGAAGCTATATATTAAATATGTTCTAGAGATAGAAGTTTATATTCAAGGTGAACATATATTCTAAATAACAATTGCATTGCATTGTAATGTTGACACAAATTTACTTGTCATTTTATAAGTGTGTATTTTGGTCTTTATACTAATTCTCTTTCTATTATATATTCTTGCAAATCAAATATTGAAATTTAAATTTTTATTTTCAGATTATTCTGCTCTCATGAAATTGAAATTCTTTTTTCCCTTAATTCTCCCATTGTGTAAATTAGAATTATATTACATAGACTTCCAAATCTTATCTCTAAATTTTACTATCTGATGTGGCGGACATTAATAAGCTACTCTTTTTATATAACTCCCAATATAAATATTTATATTAAAGTTTTGTGTATGGAAATAAAAATTATAGGTAAATAATTAAAGTACACATAATATTTTTCTTTAATAAATTAATAAAAATGAAAAGTGACGTGTAGTCACTAACATATGGGACGAATGAAGTTGGACTTTGAACAACTCAACTCCGGTCATTCACCGCGAGTTGAGAGTGAGGGAACATTAAAAGAGAAGTGCGTGCGGCCCCTACCCAATTTTATTGTTTCAAAAGTTAAATCCCTTTAATAAAAAAAAAAAAGTTAAATCCCTAATTCCAAAGGTCTCTCCATGCTTAGATTCCACAGAATATTTAAGAGGATATAAATCATGGTAATTTAGTTGAGGCTAGACCTTGGTTTATTGCGCATAAAAAGCGTCCTCACTGAAGTTGTTCCCATACTGCTGCTAAATGATGAGACTCAATTCCTGATCATTCTCCCCAATGCCGGCCTTACCCAATTTCCTTTTTTCAAAAAGGTTGAACCCCAACCTTAAGGGCCCCTCACACCCCGACCCGACAGAGTATCTGGGAGGATGTAAATCATGGTAACTCAACTGAACATGAACCACAGAGGCTAGACATTTCCTTACTGCGCACCAGGACCGTTCCAATGAAAATGAAGGTCATGTGCGACATCATAATTTTGGCCCCTTTTCAAGTCATATATATAAATAATAGTCAATTTTATAAATACGCTGTAATACCCCCAAAGGAATCTCTTGCTTTGCCACAACTATTTGCAATATCACACAAAGTTAAGTTAAGATTGTGACTACACTAGGAGTATAAAATGCTCTACGATTTACATTCAAGATTATTTTATTTATTTTTTTTTTGGTACACCTTGGACCACTCCTCCAGATCCTGATTAAACTACCTAATGAAGAACTTCAGTTTTCAAAATTCAGAACTTGTATACAGTATACTACCGACCGACAACCTCCACTTAGACCACTTCTAGAAAATCAATGAATCTAAGGCCCCACAATCGGGGTTCAAACCTATGAACATCCATTTGAAATGGTAATCGGGTTGACAATCCTCATATAATCTATGTATATAAGTATATGATTTTTTTATTTTTATTTTTTACAATTTTGTCCCCAAATTTGGGGCCTAATTGTAAAAAAATTATGATCCTGTTTTGTAAATGAATGTTAGCTAATAGATTGGGTAATTAAATGACATGACTAGTTGATAACATTAACTGATTGTAGAAAGGTGTTTGGTAAGCTGTTTGGTATAATTAATTTTCTTAAACAGTTAATTGAAAATATTGCTTTGAGCAGCTTTTTGGAGTTACAAAAACTTGATTAACCAAACACTTATATTACTTTTTTTTTTTAACCATGTCAAATATATACTAATAACCAAATAAACTAAAATTGACAGATAAACTAATTATTTTACCAAACAGAGCTTATATATATAACTCACATAATATATGTATATAACTATATAATTTTTTTTTTTTACAATTGTGCCCCCAAATTTGGGGGCCAATTGTTAAAAAACAAAATATTATATATATATGTGCGCGCGCTGCCTACTGTATAGTGTATGTATATATATATATTCTCTAATTGGGGATTTGAGGCCCCCAAATTCAGAGGGCCCTGTGCAATCATGCTTAGGGACGGTCTTGTGTGCACAAGAAATTTTCTCATTTTGAGAGATTGCTCTGTAAAATTTGATCCTGATCATTCTTTCTAAATTTCACCTCTATGACCCGCGTTGAGCTGCTCATGCAAGCGTCTTACCCAATTTCATATCAAGATGAGTGATGGATATATTCTCTCTCTCTCTTTTCCAATCCGCCACTCACTATTATTATATATACATATATTGCGTCTTGGCCTGCCTATCACGCTTCATTATATTCTTCCTTAGCTTCCTACCCTGGGAAGCTAAGCCGCCATGATTGAAGTGAAGGCAATAGCTGCTGCTTTCATAGCTCTCCTCTTACTCTCTCTATCCTTTTTGGTTTCATATTCATCATCATCACCCCTTTCGCCTTCTGCTCTTCAAACCAAACCATTCATATTATCTTCTCCAGTAGCCGAGAAGCTAAGCTTGCAGGTGATGAAGAGGAGGGCGCGCACCATCCCAGTCTCGTCGGCCGGTGGATCTGCTGCAGCAGCTGCCGCTGCTCGTCCCAAAACCAAATCCTCATCATCAGCTCCTCTTCCATCCACATTTCATATCTATTATCTTCTGCTTTTCTCTGCTTTTTTGCTGCTATAAGATAGATTACAAAGGGATTAATATTGCCCATAGAGCGACTGTGTTGGATTTGTATGTTACGTTGCCATTGATTGAAGGCTGAATAAATATTAAATTCTTTTCTTTCTCCCTACTTGTGAAGTAATATTTCTTTTAGGAAAATTAAAACCAACACTTTTAGAAACTTGGTCCCGGCACTCAATTAATTTGAGCATATTTAATCCCTTAATTATTCTTTAAAAAAAGGTTGAACCCCAACCCTAAGGGCCCCCAATACACCGACCCGACAGAGCATTTAGGATGATGTAAATCATGGTAACTCAACTGAACATGAATTACAGAGGCTAGATCGGTGCTCATTGCGCATAAAGAACCCCCCTCACTCAACCCTTGGTATTATATGATTACCAAACACCGTTCGCATATTTTTTTTTTAATGAAATTATTTTTGTCATTTAGAATCAATATTCATAATTAAAATTTTATTATCTTCATATGAACGTCATTTTTAACGGTTAATATTAAATTTTAAATAATAAAAATAACATCATATGTTAAGGTTTGACAATTATATAACACTAAAAACTTAAATTTAAACATTTATAAGGGTTTAAATTTGTTTAAATTAACATTCAAAGAACTAAATTTTAAAATTGGACCGCGGACTTGGATTGACCTTGACACTCATAATTTTTTTGAAAATATTCCATATCGAGATTCAAAATAGGTTGATGCGTGTCTAGAATATGTTGACTCGTGTGTAATTTGGAAGGTACTTTTTGACCTTTGGGACCTTCAAAGGGGTAGCAGTAGGCAGTAGCACCGTCCAGGAAAACAATGGGTCATAGCAAAGTGTTTGCTGCGAAATCAATTACTCCGTATTTGATTTCCATTTCGATTTCGATTCTCATGTGCAAACTAAACACACCCTTAATTATTTAATAATGGTTGACTTGGTTAAAATGTTTGATTAATTAGCTTTTTGTAACAGTTTATTTCTCTAAAACGCTAAAATTCAAAAAAACTGTTCAAATCAACTTTTTGAGAAAATCATTTTGAATGTAATTAGCTAACAACTAATTTACCAAATACCCCTTGAAAAAAAAAATTATCAAATATCTTTCTACAATCAACTAACAACTATTTACCAAACACCCATTTATAACTAATAATAAATCTAAAACTATCCCTATTTAGAAATTAAAAAATCAGTCAAATGAGACAGCCTCAAAAACACATGGGAAGAAGCAAGTCCCTGTCGTTAGGAGACGAAGTTACATTGCATACGAAACGTTGGGGATGAAAATTTATGGAACTAACGAAACGTAGGCATGGATAAGCCATAGCCCATAAGCATTATAACAATAATAGTAATACACTTTTTTTTTTTTTTTTTTTTACAACAAAGTAAAAGGAAACTGATGAAATTACAGTTCCTTAAATAATTGAAAGCTTCAAAATACACCAAAAAATTATCTCAATTCAAACTCACACCTTATTCACTCTGAAGGAGTTCATTACTTGGCGAATGTCGCTCTCCTCCTCAGAGAATCCCTTTTCCGGCGTTTGTACTCTTAATTCATATAACCTGTTGTTTTCCACTCCAAGTACTGAGAGGTATCGCCGATCCCATTCCAGCCGAGCCACCCGATCTTCAGGCATCACAGCCAATTCATTGTTGTTTGCATACGACTTTATATTCACCTGCTTCCCACGTTGTAAAACAAATTGTTAGGATCAAGCGCTTACCACTATGCCAAAAGCTATAACTCACTGCGAAGACGTAACTTCATTTCCTTAGGCAGGGTGTTGAACTTGGCCCTTCACCAGCCTCAGCTCAACAATCCACCGACTTGGCCCTTTACCGGCCTCCGCCCAACAATTTCCCCTCGACACCAATTGCTGGCAAATTTTTCTTGGACCATGTTCCACACAGTTGTGTGGACTACGAGTACAAGATACATTATTTGTGTACTGAATATACATTATTTTTGTGGTCCACAGATGATTCATAGAATGACTTGGCTCATCACTGGCCCCCGTCAAACACAAACACTTCAAAGTTATATCAATTCTTCCTACTTCCTACTAACACAGATGACATGCTTCTTTCACGAAATACCAAAACTTCAAATAACTTCAAAACTTATTCTACTTAACAATTTTCAGAAACCTCAAGACTGAGTTGTGTTTAAGACTGCTACTTATCCTAACCATATCAAAAAAAAAAATCTTTAATTAGTCCATGTTAGGCTCCTACTTCACTTTCTACAGCTACATAGATCTTACCTCAACTTCATAGTACATCCTCCCATCATCAGCCACTCTCGAAGATGTGGAAAGAATGCTTGATTCACGCCTGACACCGAGTCTAGTGGACATGAACTCTGTCAAATACTGCCTGAGAACTTTCTTCCCGGCTTCTTGTGGTGGACCCAAATCTTCTACACTTTGGTAGTTGGAGGATGAAGGAGAGGATATCTCCACCGACAGATTCTCATCGAGAACATAAGGGTCCCTGAAGAATATGTCAGCACCAGCACCACGTACTTGAATCCAATTCTGAGGATACTTGAATGAGTAGCCATCAAAGGTATCAATGTACTCCCTAAACCCAATAGATTGAGCAAGAGAGGTATCATGTGAATGTGATAGCATGAAACTTGAAAAGATCAACGCAATTGCCTTTCTCCTTGGAACTGCAAAATCTTTACTCTGGTTATATATGAGAAAATTCCTAGTGAGAATACATGTATATTGACTTTTACATATGAGATTCTTCATGTAAATGAAGATTAAAAAACAAAAACAAAAATGCTGATGACTTTCACAAAGTAGTATATTAGCAGAGATATATTTACAACAATGCTAAAAGCAGCAAACAGTATGAAAATCAATAATACTAATGAGTCTATCCAGGGAAGAGCCACAGAAAGAGAAGGGAAGAAAGCAATAACATAATTAATTAGTTTAAAGTATAGCTGCACTCCAAGAATCCAATCCACCTTAAGAAAGAAACACCACTCCAGCAAGGATTGGAGAGAAAATCCTTCCAGATCAACTATGTATTGGTAAAGCTCATAATCAAGGCTATGAATACTATTGGACTAAGGAAATGAAACGAGGAAGAAAAGTCACTTCTGGTAAACTATAGGTACTCAAATATGCATTTCAAATAATACAAAATATTGTCTGATTGAGTCCTGTGATCAATTTTATAAACTAAAAATATGATGTATAATCAATATTACAATAAGTACTAGAACCAGCTGCAAGCTTGATAAGATTAAACAGTATGCAATAATGAGGTCCAAAGTGTTTAGCTATAGAGTATAGACAAAGAAGCAAACCTAACCTTCACAACAGATGTTTCTCCTTGATCACAACAAAGATATCTCCTGGAATTGCGAGAATAATAATGCTTCAATATTTTCCTCCCATCTCGAACATCTTTACCTAATGACTCCACTACAAATGCAAAGAACAAATATATATTTCAAGACCAAGAATCATATTAATTGAAGCCATGACCTTTGGCAGGGTTAGCTCCGATACCAAATTGAATTGTGCTTATCTCATAAACTAAAAGTCTTAACTGATAGTTGGATTATTACTCTATATTATATGCTCAACAATATTAAGAACCAAAGAAAATTAGTGCCTGAAAAAAAAATTATTCCAAAAACAGAAATTTTACTTCCTACAATGTTCAGCATCATGAAACTGGGATGATTATGAACAGTTCATCAACATTAACCGCAACATTTAGTTCTGAATCAATAAGATGCGAACTAATCTTGTGATTATATACATACATTTTACTAACTTCTTCAATAGAGGAGAGTTTCTACTTCCTAATTATTCCACAGAAGTATTAATACTGAAACGAAATGGAAACTGAAAGAGCGCCGTAGAGTATCTCGGGGTACCTTCAGGGAAGACGCCGAATTGAAAGCGGCGACGAGGAGCGGAAAAAGACAGAGCTCTAAGAGTAGGCGAGTAGAGAGACGAAGTTCCAGAGGCAGCCATGGTGTATGAAGCTGAGGGAAGAACTGCCATGGCGCTGTGGAGGAGTGAAAATGGCAGAGCCACTCGCTCGCTTCCCGGTATACGTCATCCTGATTTCTACTGGGCTTGGGCTTTTGCTATTTGGAGCTTTTAGGACCTTTCTGGTTAATGTTGGGTTGGGCTACACCAAATTAGGGCAAATTATTATGTGGACCAAGGTTCACCTTGCAAAGTAGATCAGAGTAAAAAATACACAATTTATATACTAAATATTCACAATTTACATAATAAATGTTCATAATTAAAATTGTGAATATTTAGTATCTAAATTGTGAACATTCAATATGTAAATTGTGTATCTTAGATCAGGTCCACATTACAAGGTGAAAGCACGTCCATGGTATAACTTAATAAATGTCCCCAAATTAGTTCCTAAGAGTAGGGGTGACTACGGTTCGGTTTGAACCGTAACCATGCACTGTACAATCGGAATTGGAATCGAACCGTCCGTACCGATTAAGGTTTGTATAATAAAGGAATCAGAACCGTCGGTCTGTCGGTTCGATTCCAGTTCGGACCAGGATGGTTCCAGTTCCAAATAAACCGTAAAAATAATAATGATAATAATAATAATAATAATAATAATAATAATAATAATAATAATAATAATAATAATAAAATGAAGTTGAAACTAGACCAGCAAGCCAGTGGCCTACTGGCCAAAAACAAAAACAAAAAAAAAAAATACTTTTTTTTTTATAATTCCGGTTAGAATCGGCGGTTCCATTTAAAAATACTTTTTTTTTTATAATTCCGGTTAGAATCGGCGGTTCCAAACGGAACCGCTGGAACCGCCGGTTCTTGAACTGGAACTTCTTGAACCGGAACGGGAATCTTAATATAAGGTTTCGATTCCGGTTTCACCATTTGTCAAACCGAAACCAAACTCGCGGTCAAAATGTCAAAAAAATATTTGGTAACTCAGCGGTTTGGAACCAAACTAGCAGCGTTTGAGGTTAGCATTTTAAATCCTTCCCTAAAACACCCTCCATTAAAAAAATTAAAAAAATAAATAAATTACCGTGTTATTTAGAAGCCTATGACTCTTTAATAGAGAAGCCTCATGCTTCTCTTCTCTTGACCATCCGATGTGGGATGGGCAAGAAGAGAAACTGAAGGCGCGTTGAGCTCCCTTATACGCCCTCCCGATGTGGGATCATCTTATCCACATCTTCTTGTTGTTGTTGTTGTTGTTGTTGTTGTTGTTATTGTTATAACAATAATAATAATAATAATAATAATAATAATAATAACAATAACAATCCTCCGTCCCATTTTATCCGTCATACTTACTATTCATTAGTCAAACCAACTCTTTCTTCTTTACTTATTTCTATTAGCATTTTCTTATAATTTTTAAATTTGATTTTTTTTGTGTGTGTTTAATAGTACTTTTAATCTAGTTTTTAAATATATAAATTTTACATATTAATTCTAAACTTAATATTATGAAAAATGAAATTGTAAATAATTTCAATCAACCCTCGTTAACCGAACCCGACACATAAAATGGGACGGAAGGAGTATTACATTTTTCATAATAAGTAATGTACTAATGTTGGCAAATGCTCCTTACTTAGAAAATATAATACTTACAAATCAAAATGTAAAAGGATTACATTTTTCTTTAAAAGTATTACATTTACCCTTATATGTAACAATTTTTTTTTATTAATATTACATTTGAGCATATAAGTATGATATTTGTGCGTATAAGTATTACATTTTCATCTTGACCAAACCCGACCCGTCTCACCAGTGAAACAGTTACACACAAATTTTTGCCAAAAAGAAAAACTAGTGATGGGGAAGTTGTTTCCTTTTTATTTGCATCATCTCTTGTGCATCACAAAAGGCTCATCTAATAGCAGGCTGGGTTATTCTTGCGGTGATCTGACAGGGGTGAGAATATTTTTTACTTGCAAGAATTTCTTCTCTTTCATTTCTTGTAGGAAAAGAAAGAAAAAAAAAAAACAAAAAGAATAAGAAAAAGGAATACTTATTAATGAACTGAGCACAAATAAGAATTAGATTCCTAAAGAGCTCTTGTTATATCATCATGCCCATTTGTGTATTAGCCATTGGTAAATGGTAAAAGTTATGTTTTTGTTGAAAAGTGACAGGATTTGTTTCTAAAATTTGTCAAACATTTCAAAATTTGTAAGACGATTACAATTATTAAAGTTTTTAGACTTCAATTTCAACCAAGCTTAAAAATAAATGTGTTGGTGAAAATTTTAGTATAAATACTGAGCTTTTTTGTTCTTTATTAAGAAATTCATTTAAATTAAAAAAATGAATAAAAATAAATATGATTAATTTTTTTTTTTTGAAAATTTTCTGCGGTGCTTCATTAGAAAAATGCTGAAATAATGTCTGGTGGGTGAGTATCCCAGTACATAGTATCAGGTTGCTGATAAGCCGTAGTGGCTAAAGCATGAGCTAAATAATTGTCCGATCTAGAAATATAATTAAAAGAACATGAGTGAAAATAAACGGCAATTTGCTTGCAGCTATCAATGGCATAGCCAACGTAAGAGCGAAACGCAGTGGTTGATGATGTAAGGTAGCGTTGTAGTGTCAAACAATCCGTGTAGATCTCAATATTCTGTTCACCTCGATCCTTTAGCCATGATAAAACTTCCTTACACGCCAAAGCCTCAGCCATAAGTGGTGACGTACAGGCCGGTAGCGGCGCGGTTAGTGCCGAGATATAGGCTCTATCTCCATCTAATAAAACGGCCCCTACAGTTGCATTCCCTGTCTCGTGTAGATATCCCGCATCGACCCTGCATCTTCTCACTGGCGGCACAGAGGATCCGGCGGCGTCGGCAGCACCGCGGCCAGCGGTGGGACTCGCCTGGGCAGCGTGGCGGTTTTCTGTCGGCAGCGTAGCAGTGGCAGTGGCAGCCACGGCTGGGCGGGACTGAGTCCATGCGGTCTTGGCTGCCGCTGCGGCTCTGAGTAGGGACCCCGGGCGTGGTAAAAACGCCTCCCAAACTGCACCATTTCGAGCTTTCCAAATATTGTATAGAATTGATGCTGCATATAACATTCCATCAGAATCTAAAATATTTAGAAGTTCCCCACACCAAACATGAAAAATATCCGTGACAATATTGGGGATTGTAAAGTTGGATTGATCCCAAATGTTTCTTGCAAAATCACACAAGACTAATGCATGCATTGTATTCTCATGTGATATCCCACACATAGCACAATATGGGTTCACCTCCACCCTCTTTAAAAGCAAGTTCGTAGTTGTAGGCAAAATATCACAAATAGCTCTCCAGAGGAACATTTTCCACTTTGGTGGAATTTTTAGTCTCCATAAAGCTAACCAATTAGTAAAGGGGCCTTGATTATTCTCATAATCTCCCACCAATCGTCTGTACCCGCTTTTCACAGAATATAATCCTCTCGGGTCCCCGTACCAATACCATGCATCATTATAATCCCGGGATACAGGTACTCTCATAATTCTCTCGACATCCGTAGGTTGAAATAAATCTGATAAAATTTCATTATCCCATGTACCAGTTTGTTGATCTATTAGCCCCACTACTCTGGCCTCTCGTAACTGTATAGGCATCTCTGTTTGTATCATAGGGTCCTGGTCATCCAGTAACCATGGATGGGTCCATATAGATGTAGTTTCCCCATTCCCAATTCTTCGTCTGACCCCACTACAAATTATGCTCTTTGATGCCATTATACTCCGCCAACAAAAACTGGGATTATTTCCTACCTGCGCATCAAAGAAAGTATCCCTGGGAAAATATCGGCTTTTGTAAACACGAGCTACTAAGGAATCAGGCTTAGTGAGCATTCGCCATGCCTGTTTCCCCAACATAGCTAGATTAAATGCACGTAGGTCCTTAAAACCCAATCCACCATACTTCTTAGGAACACATAGCTTGTCCCAAGCCTTCCAGTGAACTCGGTTGTCCGTCCCAGAACCCCACCAATATCTATTCATCGTTCTTTCTATAGCCGTGCATACTGATATAGGTAGCAAAAAAACACTCATTGAGAAGGTAGGCATAGATTGTGCCACACTTTTCAACAGTATTTCTTTCCATGCCTGAGACAATAGCCTTTTATTCCACGACCCAATTCTTTGGCGTATTTTATCCTCAATATATGCAAAAGCTGCCTTTTTATTCCTACCCACAAACGAAGGTAGACCCAAATACTTGCCAAAGTTTGGTGCCTGCTCCACCCCCAAAACTTGGGCCACACTTTCCCTATCCACATTACTCGTATTCCTGCTATAACAAATACTCGACTTGTGGTAGTTAACCACCTGTCCCGATAGATCCTCATATACAGTCAGGCATTTCTTTATCTCATTAGCCTCTTCCACATTAGCCTTAAAGAATAAAAGGCTATCGTCCGCAAAAAACAAATGAGAAATCTGAGGGGCACCTCTTGCTACCCTACATCCATGAATTAATCCCGCTCTGTTAGCCTGTTGTAGTAACAACGAGAGTCCCTCTGCACAGATAATAAACAAATATGGGGATAGCGGGTCTCCCTGTCTCAAACCACGCGTGGGTATTATTGGGTCACTCCTTGAGCCATTTATCAGAATACTATAGGAGACTGTGGTCACACATTTCATAATCAAATCAACCCATCTATCATGGAAACCCAATGCCATCATCATATTACGGAGAAAAGGCCACTCCATTCGATCATACGCCTTAGCCATATCCAGCTTAAGTGCACCCCAGCCCCTCAATCCACACTGTTTTCGATTCAGAAAGTGCCCCACTTCTGCAGCTAATAGAATATTATCTGTTATCAATCTATCTGGGATAAAAGCACTCTGTGTCTCAGATATTATTCCTTCCATCAAAGGCTTCATTCTATTAGCCATCATTTTAGCTATTATTCTGTACAATATGATTAATTGATTATAATGAATTTTAAATAATTGCGCGAGTTTGTAAATTATTAAATTCTTGGATAGTTGAGCTAAAATACTTATATCATACTTACTTTTTTTTTGGTCACAAAAATTCACTTTTATATACATATATATATATATATATATATATATATATATATATATATATATATATATATATATATTATTCTTGATGTACATGATTAATTTTTATTGTCCTTATCTCGAGTGAGCATATAATTATTAATGTGCAATTTAACTATCAACTTAGACTTTTAGTTGAGATGGAACACATGCTTTAATTATCTCTATATAATTTGACTAAATTTTCTTATTGGATATTTATTTAATTGTACAACGCACAATATTTAAATAATTATATATATTAGGAAAAAAAACCTGATTTAAATATGAGGCCCTAACTTTCGTTCTTCCTTCTCCCAAAAGGTTGAATCCTAATTCTAAGGATCCTTCACACCCTGGTCCGACAGAACATTTGGAATGATATAAATTCAATTGTTATATCATGGATCAGAGTTTATATTGTACTAGTATGATACCCGTGCGATGCACGTGGAATGATTTGTAAAATAAATGTTATATTGTGTTAATAAAATAATAGAAAAAATACATGAAAAGAATAGATCTCATACGACAAGATAAATTTTCAAGTACAATTATATATATATATATATATATATATATATATATATATATATATATATCAAGGTGTGTAGTTAGTATGATAATGCACGATTCAATATTTGAAATATTAAAATTCTAAACAACACATTTATAATAGAAGATCAAATGAAAAAGAAATTCATTTAGAAAAAGAAACATACAAAATAAACTCAATGATTTTTTTATTTTTTATTTTTGCAATTTCTACACACATTGAAGAACCTTCAATTCTACAATGAGTTTCTGTCAAATCTTTCATCATATTCAGTCCTTCACAAATCTTTCGTTTACATATGCACATTGGTCCACTTACACCAGATTTGTTAAGGATCATCAAATAACCATTGAGGAAGCAAATTAAAAAAAAAAAAAAAACTTAAACTCTTTGCAAAATAAAGGAAATAAGAAAATACAAAACCCTGCATAAGAACAACCCTGAATAAGCATTCTCTTAAAAAAAAACCTGCATAATGTAGGCATTATCTATACCACTTCCAACCAGCAGAGGCGCTGCAGCTACCCAAACGCTCATTGAGTCGTCACCATCTTCGACCTCTACCCCGTGCAAGTAATTGAAACACCCAAATCCTTCCTCCATAACTCAAACTGTCGCTTCTTCGCATGTTTCCTCGCCTCCGCCATGTACGGTTTCTCCACTATGGCCAGCCGCAGTTTTCCTTGTGTGGTCATTGATCGCCCGCGACTGCAATGCATTTAACACCTATGCGAAATCCAAGAACACAATCCTGCGACCACTATGCCTTTGCTATATATATATATATATATATATATATATATATATATATATGTTGAGATTAACAAGAATAAGAAACAAATAATAATGGCAAATAGGGTAAAGAAGACAAGATTTACGTGGTTCGGCAATGTGCCTACATCCACGGGAGTGAAACGATTCTTATATTCATAGTGATGGTGATAGTGGTGACACCACCCCTTAGGGATACAACCAATATATTTATAGGCATCTAATCCCTGTACACTGGGTCTACCCGTTTCACTCCTACTCCTAGTATGAGACAAACACATATTCCTAATCCATATATGAGACAAACTCAACAATCTCCACCTTGGCGAATATGCTCTTTAGGAGAAAAGATAACTCAACAAATCTCCACCTTGACGAATATGCTCTTTAGGAGAAAAGACTTATCTCACCATCTCCACCTTCACATATATGCCCTTTAGGAGAAAAGACTATCTCCACCTTCGCAAATATGCCCTTTAGGAGAAAAAGATAACTTAACAAATCTCCACCTTAACAAATATTTCCCTTAGGAGAAAAGACTTATCTAACCATCTCCACCTTCACAATTATGCCCCTTAGGAGAAAAATATTTATCTCACATATACACATGGGTAGGAACAATCATGTTTATCCCAACTAGCCGGCCACATGCATACGCAGCATCAAATGTTACCCAGTGCATGTACACGAACCGCTTTGTTCCAAGCCATTCGCCCCTCAGCCGTCGACCTGTTATACCGCCGCGACTCATGCTAACTGCCCCGTTCAGCTGACTTCCTGCATCCGGCCCATACCAGGTCCATATCCCCTCCTGGTATCCACGCTGCCCCAACACAACAGCGCCCCTGCAAAGTCACACTAAACCCGTGTGCCTTGCCCAATGCTCCACTAACCAGCAATTACCACTGGCCAACAACACGCACAACGCAGCATCAAACGTTTCCCAGTGCATGTTCACGAACTTCTTCGTCGTCCCGAGAAGTCCTCCCATACCAAACCCATATCGGCCCTAACCAGTGCCATACCGGCACATACCGAGCCCATATAAGCCCATACCGATACCAGCTGTGACTCGTGACAAGCTCGACCCATACCAGCCGTGACTCATGCCAAAAGCCCAACCCATACCAGCCCATACTAGCTGTGACTCATGACAAGCCCAGCCCATACCGAGCCAATATTGACCCATATTGATACCAGGTCCACGACCCCTCCTGGTATCCGCGCTGCCCAACACCACAGCGCCCCTCACCACCTTCTCATCTAGCATCTAGAAACGTCCAACAAGTCCAAACAATTTTCGAACTTGTTACTAGTTACCGCTAGAACATCACCTTCACTATAATAAGATTCATCAGCATGTACCACGTCCGTAGCTTCCTGCTTCTTCAACTCCTCCCAATCAGCCTCTTCCAGATTTGCTGGATTTTTCGCCCTCAAGGTTTTCAGAAGGCCCTGTTGTGCCAACAAATCCTTTACCCTAGATTACCATAACCCAAAATTCCCTGTACCATCAAATTTTGATACCTCGAATTTTGTACTTGAACTGGTCATCTCAACAGTGCTCTGATACCAATTTGTTGAGATTAACAAGAATAAGAAACAAATAATAATGGCAAATAGGGTAAAGAAGACAAGATTTACGTGGTTCGGCAATGTGCCTACATCCACGGGAGTGAAACGATTCTTATATTCATAGTGATGGTGATAGTGGTGACACCACCCCTTAGGGATACAACCAATATATTTATAGGCATCTAATCCCTGTACATTGGGTCTACCCGTTTCACTCCTACTCCTAGTATGAGACAAACACATATTCCTAATCCATATATGAGACAAACTCAACAATATATATATATATATATATATATATATATAGCCACATGCATGAACAATGCAAACCTTTTCACAAGAAAGCTTTTCCAGTTTATCAATGGATCCATAATAACAATCTCCTCGCCATCCTCACTAATCCATACAGAACGTGGAGTTCCCCAGAACCTACTTCGACTAACAGGCCAATCCCTTGCATTTTCCTGTCAAAGAACACACCTCATTAAAAATATCAAGTGATAAATTTATTATATGAGTCGTCAAACAGATACCTAATTTAATCCGCTACTTCTTCTTTTCTTCTTCGCCTGAATCCTTCCCGCAATGAGACCTATGTGAAATCCATGGACCCAATCTTGCAACAACTATGCCTATATATATTAATGCAAAGATGATATCGAGAATTGAACAGGTACCTTGAGCATAACAATAGAACATTACTCTTTATCAATAAATGTTTTCTAGAAATAGGAAAATGGATAAATGTGTTGTTTACCTAGGAAATCTAATCCAGGAACATACACCATTAATAACATCTTTTATACGGAATAATTAAATATTTCAAAAATTGTAAAATATCTTAGATTTTGCTCAAATACCACATTTACCAAACGGTGTCGTATTGCTTGGGCGGGAATTGAAGCCATTTTTTCTGGGCAATACATCTGGCTTTATTATAGATAAGATAAGATAAGATAAGATGTTAGTTTGAGATTAGTTATTTATATAATTGTATTATGATCCCTATTTTGGAATTACTTTCAGACACAACTTTCGGCCATATTGATCTTCTTTTTCACACTTGGCATCTTGAAAAATTAACACCAGCTACCCATATCTTTATTGATAAGCACATTAATTAAAACATCATAATAATTATTCTTATATATAAATACCCCAAACTAGTCTACTACCTTATAAGACTAAATTCTCATAACCAAGACATGAAAACACCATTGCTTTGTTGCCTATGCTTTATTGTAAGCTTGAGTTTCTTGGCATACTCTACATGCAGTGAATTCTCCTTCAACCTAAAACATAGAAATCTTGAGATTTTGCAGGAAGAGAAGCAAACAAGAAGTAAGTTTTTATTTACTAATTTATACAGAGTATTATATTTCTTAGTTTATAAATCTCTTAATATACGTTTAGACTCTCAATTATTAGTCCGATGGAATTAATCCCTGGAATTGAGTAATAACTTTCCTATGAGACAGTCTGATCTCACGGATTCTTATTCGTGAGACGGGTCGGGTCAAGATGAAAATACAATACTTATACTAAAAAATATAATATTAATCTAGAATAAAATGTTTACTTGTGTAATAGTTTTGAAGGAAAATATAATAGTTTTAAATTAAAATATAAAATTAAGTATTATATTTTTTTCAAACACATTATTCGTGATTAATATTACATTTTTATCTTGATCTGATCCCACTCACAGACAAAAATACATGAGACGGTCCCACATAAGTTTAATATCTAGAATTTGGTCATTATTGTCTCTGTGGCTATATTGTACTTGCAGATACAAGTTGGAGAATCGAAGGATTACAAGGTTCCACGGACTTTAATAATAAAAATAAGGTAGAAACAGTGGATCATGGCAAAAGAGGAGCATACGGCGGATCTGACCTTCTCCGGAAGCCTGCTGATAAATCCGACGGCGGACGTAATTGCACATCATTTCCAAATCTCTTTCACATATTAGCAAGCATTACCATAGCATTACTTGCTTTATACTTCTGGTATATTGAGTGACAGAAGGATACACGAATTGTACTATCTTTATTCGGAAGAGTAATGGGTTTCTTTTGTTGAAGATGTATGTAAATTTTTACTGTCTTAATTTGAACAAATTTAGATTGTGATTAAAGGATTATAATTAACAAGAACATGTATGCAAATTTAGATTGTGATTAAAGGATTATAATTAACAAGAACATGTATGGTCCACCACCGGAGGGGTGCCAATTACGGGTACCCACCACTTATTATCTTATTAATTTTTTTTTCAAAAATTAATATTTAAATGACCCACACATAATTAAATTTACTAGTTATACTAAAACATAAAATAATAAAAATATTTGAACCTAAAATCTTTCATAAGTTACACACATGTCTTACCAACTTAACCAACTTATCTTTCTTTTCTTTATTTGTATTTTATACTTATACCTAAATATGTACTTTATATATATATATATATATATATATATATATATATATATGTGTGTGTGTGTTGAACCAATAGACTCACTATTAATAATAAAAAGTCATAATGTCTAAGTTCAGCCATATAACGTTTCGAACCCCTAACCTTTTAAAAAGTCAAACGCATGCTTAGCCAACTAAACTAACACATACCTTGTTAATATTTATTTGTTTTATTATACTTATACTAACATATACTATATATACATATATATACAAGGGTTATATATAGAATGGGGGTGGGGGTGGGGGTGGGGGTGGGGGTAGGGGGCATCTGCTCCCACTGTAGCTCCGCCCCTAAGAACAAGGGTTTATGTGAGAATGTGTGGTCAAATTCGCATCATCCATTGAGAAAGTTGCACGACGTAGATTTAATCCCTGATGTATACATACACACACATGTACTGGTGTGGCGCTAACAACAAAGTACTTGGTGGCGGTGGCGGTGGCGGTGGCGGTGGTGGGGACGGGGGTAGGGGGGTGGTGAAGATGGGACACATGTATGGATGAGATGAGGGGCCAATGAAGACCACATACTTGTCAAGCATATGGAGGGGCCTAGCAATAATACTATTACTTTTCTAACCCCAATTCTATACATCCATCCTTGTTTATGGTGGACCTAATCCCAATAAAACCAACAACATCATGTAACCAAATTAAATGGGATGAAAGATAAGAAATTATCATTAGGACCTTATTTCTAACAGTCAATTAACAAAATTTTTAACAAAGGACTAAATTGTATAAAATCATCAAAGTCGAAGACTGAATTAAGCACAAAAAGTCATTTAAGACTAAATTGAATAAAACCACTATAATCGAGTACTATATTAGACAATAACTCTAGGTTTCAAACATCATCTAGATCCAATTAACTTTTCGAACTCCAGTTCTTCAATCCAATCAACCTTGGGCCTACACCCAATATCTCCATAAAATTATCATGTTTTAATTTGAATAATTTGAACACAATATTATGTAAGTTTAAGAGTTAATTCCATTTTTTTCTATGTATAGGTGACACTCCACTTTTAGTCATTTTTTTCATAACATTAATTGTTGGTCTTAGTATTATTTTCAATTTTTTTTTTTGTCTCCAGTAACAAACCTATTTAAATGACTTTAAATATGAAATCATTTTAGCCTATTCAATTCTAAGTGTCAATTTATTTTTGGTCCTAGATTTATATGTCATTCTACAACGTACTGTAGAGGCTCAGGTTGTGGAGGATCTGCTGCAGAGGAGTGGATTGCAGTTAAATAAGACAAGAGACTCTAGCTGTAATTAAAAAAAATTCAAAAATAAAAGTGAAAATATAGCAGGTTAACCCACTTTGTATATAAAGAGACCAAAATGTCATCGTATTTAACGTTATTTAAACATGTTTGTTGACGGGTGGCCAAAAATGGTCATGCCTCAAGGACAAAAAATGGAATTAACTCTAAGTTTAAAGAGATATATATATATATATATATATATTCATATGAGAACATGTCTTTAGGTGTCAACGTGTGGTCTAATTGTAGCTGTTGATTTTGTGAGATTTGATGCTTGTTATTTTTTTATTTTATTTTTTTGTATATTAATTATTTGACAATATTTTTAAAGTTGAGGGCATTTTGGTTATTTCTTACCAGATTTCTTTATTATTAGTGCTTTTAATTAGGAATTTTCCGTTCTTTTAACATTGTAACCATGTCATGACTATGCTCTCCTTCCCCGTTCTTTTCGGCGTGCAATCCGGTGTTGTGAGTTGTGCATCGTAGGCTGGTGAGATATGCATTAGTGCACTTAACGCGGTGCATCATAGGACATTGGGATGCTCATCTTAGGATGTGGAGTTGTGCTTGAATTCACAATCAGAGAGTTATCGATTCACGACATTCGTTATATGAATGCACAACATTTTGTATATGAATGCACAATCAAAGTACTATGAATGCATAATCTAGACCAAGCTAATAATCAAATCAGATAGTTATTAATGCACGACATTCTGTATAGCAATGCACTATATTCTCTCTATAGGAATGCACCACAGGAGCTAAACCAATAATCAAATATTACTCTACGACATATCAATGGTTCAATAGACCTGTTGAACAGTCTTGTTAGACTCAACGGGTCTATTGAACCCGTTGAATAGACATGTTGGTCCAATTGACTGCTCAACGGGTTTATTGAACCTGTTAAACAGACCCATTGGTCGAATGGGACTACTCAACGGGTCTATTGAACCTGTTGGGGAGCTTCTTGACTTACCAAATTACTCTTCGGAGCAATTCCCTTACCCTTAATCCACGCCAGGGCCGTTTCATTACAAATTAGGGTCCTGTGCAATATTTAAATTTGGGCCCCCTTTTTAAGTAATTTTTATATATAAATAATAGTTGTTCAAAAAGTTGTGTTAAAAATTCAAAATATAATATTGTATACAAAAATACATCTAAATTTTCATTTAAAAAGTGATATGCGCCTTGCACATTTAGACGCAAAATCATCCACCAAACTTTTGATATCAACTTCTTCCAAAATCTCATTTTCTATAGAGATTAAAGCTAATCCATTGAGTCTCTCTTGCAACATACTTGATCGTAAGTAAGATTTCAACAATTTCAACTTTGAAAAACTCCTTTCTGCAGAGGCAACAGTAATTGGGATAGTTAATAATATTCGATATGCAATAGTAGCATTTGGAAAACAACCCATATGTTTTAATGAATTCAATATACTCACTGGTCCTATAATTTCTTTCGATAAAATCTCTCTAAGCAATTTTAGCTCAATATACAATTCATTTCCATCAATATCACCACACTGTTCATATCTCTTAAGAGCTGCTTCTAAACAAATGCAACAAGACTTCAAATCAATATCAGCCATAAATTGTAACTTGTGAGAACTAAACAAAAAGCCAAAAGTTCCTTCATATACTTCATATTGCTCAAACCTTTGGGTCAATGAAATAATAGCTTGATCCACAGTGTATAAAAAATAATGAACCCTAAAAGATTCTTCTGGTGATTATGAAGCGTCATCACCACTCTCATCAAATTGTCTTTTTCTACGAATTTTTCGATTTTGAGGAAACACTGCCTCAATTTCTATTTTAGTGGCAATTTCCTTTGCAAAATCCATGGCACAAGAAAAATCATTTTCTCTATAATTCTTGAAGAAAGAAACTAATCCTTTAATTTGATTAATAGAAACATCAAGAAGCATATCTTTTGTTTGCAATTGTTTGCTAACTAAATTAACTGCAGATAAGATTTCAAACCAAATGACTGTCGCTAGCAAAAATTCAAAGTTACTAAGCTCATTTGTAGCTAAAGATCTTGCCTCACTTTGAATTTTAGAATCATTATCTGTATCTGCCACTTGAAGTAAGGCTTCTCGAATATCACTGACTTGATATCTAATTGCTTTAACACTTTCCACACGACTTTCCCATCGAGTAGATGACAATGGCTTAAGAGTTAGATTTGTTACATTACTTTTCAGGATATGCCACCTCTTTTTGGAATTAGCAAATATTGTGTAAATACGTTGCACTACTCCAAAGAAATCTCTTGCTTTGCCACAACTATTTGCAACGTCACACAAAGTCAAGTTAAGACTATGACTACCACTAGGAGTATAAAATGCTCTACGATTTATATCCAATAGTCTTTTTTGATGTCTCCCTCTCATATTTGACCCATTGTCATAACCTTGTCCCCTTACATTATCTACATCAAGATCAAGTGATATCAACACATTTTGTAATACTTCAAAAAGACCTTGGCCAGTAATGTCATTCACAACCAAGAATTCCAAGAAGAACTCTTCTATTTTAATTGGATATGTTGATATATCCACACATCTTAAAATCAAAGACATTTGTTCTTGGTGACTGACATCAGGAGTACAATCTAATATCACTGAAAAATATTTTACTTCTTTGATTTTTTTTGATGACCTTTGTTTTAACTGCAGTAGCAAGCACAAGTATCAATTCGTTTTGAATCTTATGACCAAGATAATGATGATGAATATTACGATTTCTAGCACGTAAAACATGCTCTTGAATGATAGGATCAAACTCAGCCAACATTTCAATTAGACAAAAAAAAATTCTCATTGTTATTCTCATACAACTTCTCATTTGTTCCACGAAATGCCAAATTATTTTTAGAAAGATACTTCACAGCTGCAATAATCTTAAATAGTACTTTCCTCCAATATTCTTTTTCTTTCAAAAGTTGTTCTTGAGCGACTCTATCAATCGTCTCATTTTTTTGTAATCTAAGACGCAACTCCATCCAAGTTGTCATATTAGTCATATTAGTCATATGATCTACACTCGTTTCATGTTCTTTAAGTCTAACACCAAGATGTGTCCAGTCCCTAAACCTTCATCGACCAAAACACCTTTCCCTAAACTTTTTTTTTTAAATCTTGCAACAAAAACAAAACATTTTGTCAAGTTCTTTTGAATATACAAGCCAATCTCTATCACACTTCTCCCCATTTGGCAAATATCTTGTGTAAAATGCTGACGAAAATTTTCTAGAGAATTTATCTTTAGAACCTT